ATTTAACAATTTAATTTGTTTTTTGTCGTTTTGAATCCACAAAATACTTTTTTGGGGGCAGCACTGATTGGCCAAGCAATCTCACATGATCCTCTGCAGCAAGTTATGGCCAAGTGGGGCGTGTCATCACGACTTGACACAAGTGTGTCTTTACCTCCACGGCAGAGGCTCCGCCGAACCCCTGAGACCGGCTCATCGAACCCCTAGGGTTCGATCGAACCCAGGTTAAGAACCACTGATTTAAAGGGTAATAAAATAATTGCTGATGTAATATTTCCCCTATAACTATTACAAAAACACAAAAAAGTATAAATAAGTATTTATACTTATTTGTGACCCCAAATAAGTATTTATACTTGCGTATAAGCTGTTTAGATTGTCAAAAAGCCTGTGTTTTTAGGGTTATTAACAAAGTTCGTGTACTCAGACCAGTAATATTTGGGGTCACAAGTTTTTGCCGTGAATATTTTGTGGGTCAGAAGATAAAAAGTTTGGGAACCACTGCACTTTGGTTCCCAAAGTTGGGCTTGAGACCCAATTATGGGTCATGAAGCACCTTGGATAATCTCCAGAAATAAATTTAAAGGGTAATAAAATAATTGCTGATGTAATATTTTCCCTATAATTATTACAAAAACACAAAAAAGGTATGAATAAGTATTTACATTTGTGTACAAGCTGTTTAGATTGTCAAAAAGCCTGTGTTTTTAGGGTTATTAACAAAGTTCGTGTACTCAGACCAGTAATATTTGGGGTCACAAGTTTTTGCCATGAATATTTTGTGGGTCAGAAGATAAAAAGTTTGGGAACCAGTGACTTAAGACACCTAAGTTGAATATTCCTCATCAGTCTGACTCACCGCTTCCCTTAAACAACCTCTGCAATCCTACAGGTAGGTGGTCTGCATTCACCATCACTCTATAGGAGGGGGGAATCAGCTTCTCAGTGATGCTCTTGATGCACTGGAGCCTTTACAGTGGTCATGAAGCTCTCCCTCACCACCACCCACCCCTCTCCTTCGCCTGGAGGAGCAGACAGCCTACCTAGACGGGTGCAGGAAAGAGCAAACCATGGTGGTCGCTCTCAAAATGAGAGACCACCGATAATCCGCACAGCCCCGCCGCAGTTATAAGATGCACAATCAACAAGTCCTCATCCGCTCGCACATGAATATAATAATAAAAAATAAAAAAATAAAACAGGCTGTCGATCAAAGTTGTCAACCATGATGGCAGGCTGCAGCAGGCACAGACACACACAGAGAGACGGTACCTTGTGGATGTGCCCTTCCTCACATCGCAGATGCTGCATTTGAACGCCTCGGCGGTGTTCCTGTACGTGCACACGCTACAGTCCCAGTAGCCGTCGTCGGCGCTCTGTTTGGCTTGTCTTTTTGGCCTTAAGAATGAGACAAAATGACAAGTTAGTTTACGGTGAATAAATATAAAAAACACCACCGACACGTTCATTTAATTAACAACACGAGAGACGGGGGGAACGTGACCCCGCCGCCTGTACGAGCCGCTGAAGCCAGCACAAAAGCATGGCGGGGTTGTCATTAACGTTTGTGGGTTCGAAACCCGACAGCTCCTCGTTGGTTGGTGGCGAGGCGGGCGACTATCTACACCGTCCGACTGTATCAGCTAGGCTAGCAGCAGGCAGGGAAGCGCTGCTGGAAAAAAAAAAAAAAAATTTGGTACCGAAGCTCAGTAGGTCGGCTGACGAAAGCAGTATCAAACAAAGCCCATTTCGACATTGACCCATCGGAAGGTCTCGTCGAACCGGAGGAGCATTAAAAGGACTGCCAGACACATCCTCGGAAACATTTCTCTTTGTCTGTTGAAGTGACTGGGCTGTAGGGAGAGCGAGGAGCCGCCATAGTGACTGCACTATTCTAGCTAGCTGTGGCATACCAACGGAAAAAAAAGGGAGAAACGAGCTCCGCGCGAGAGACAGAAACGCATCCGAATCTCGATCCCGAAACGTGGCGGACGGACGCTACATCGACGGCGGACGGTCCTCTTACCTGGTAGGGCTCTTTTTGTCGCCCATGGTGACAAATAATCCTCGAAAATGAGAAGAAAAGAGGGGGGGCCTCCTTTAATTGTCAGAGAGTGAAGTAGGATCCAGATAGAGCCGCTGCTGAAGCTGTTGGCAGACAGGCTCCACTCAGCGCTGGCTCGAGGCACGGCACAGCGACTGCACACTGGGTCATGTGACCAGGCGCGGACCAATCAGCGCGCGGGCAGGTTTAAAAGTCTGAATGTGTGTTTGGTGGATTTTTTTTAATAAACTACTGAAGACATCTGACAGATCTCCTGAACCCACACATTAACCAAGCCTGCAGACCGTAGTGTTACCATTGTCATATACACAATTATTCTGCTACTAAAACAAATGTTTGCAGGGCTCGCACAACACATTACAAGTGGTTTGTTAAAAGAAAAACATTGAGTGACTCTTAAAATGTATTATTCTCAGGTAAGAGAAAAGTAAAAGGAACTACAATATTACAGAAATGTTAAGAGAATCATTGCAGAATATATTTTTAATTCAAACTGGAGTACTCACAATGGGAAGTGTTAGAGGAMAATAAATGACATTTACAGTAATTAGGATGGACCAGAATTTGTTCATTAATCTCTCACAGAGCAAGCTGAGTGGAAGGACCTCTCTGAACATTATTTTTATCTTTATAGTTACAAAAATGAACAGCCTAACTCTCACAGAAGGAATGCATTTTCTCCCCTGCCAGAGTTTTGGACAGCAAGCATTTASAAATTTGCGCCAATTTCAGTGTTGTATAAAGTACCACAAAGTAATACTTGAGTAAAAGTACAAGTATCTTATCAAAAAATGACTTTGGTAAAAGTTAAAGTCTCCTTTAGGAATATTACTTGAGTAAAAGTCTTAAAAGTATGTGATTTTTTTTGTACTTAAGTATTAAAAGTAAAATTGATTTAAAATGAGCAGTTAGATTTTCTGTAATGACATTTATTAGGAGGTGACCTCCCCAAAAAAATGCAGAAATGACTGTTGTGTTAATATAATGTTTAATTGATGTTAAATTTAGGATGCACTGGTCCAGCTCTTTCAGTTTATATACATATATCAAGGCTGCACAAACATTTTCCACAAAATGAAAATCTATCTGAGGGCTGCGGTTAAATGCAATAATTTAATTCATGAAATACAAATACTTCTTAAGTACAGTCCTTTTATTTTAATGATTATGTCCTGCTGGAGTGTGACATATTTTGTTTGTGTACAAACTAATATGGTATCAGAATTTTATATATTTATACCTCTCATTTAACCACAATTAAGTTTACTCTATGTAAGAGGTACAATTTATATGG